CTCACATTGATAAAGAAGGCTGGTAAGAACATCTGTCTTGTAAACTTTGAGCTTGGTGGACTGCTGGATCTTGTGCTGATTGAACACACGAGCTCACAGTCTTTCCAGAGTTTGACTTGCCTTGCAGATCCCGGTGTTGATCTCTTTGTCAAGGGAGCCATTGTTAGAAATGACATTTCTGAGGTACATGAATTTCTTCCAGACTTCAGTTCTGTTCACTCAATGGTCTGTTGTGGGAGGGTTAGGCACTTCTGTTTTCCCAATGCTGATTCTAAGGAAAAGCAGATGGGATGCTTTAGCAAACTTGTTGACAATGAGCTGGAAGGCAAATTCCATGTGTCCCATGAGAGCACAATCATTGGCAAAGAGGACCTCCAGGATGAATTTCTCAATCATCTTAGTTGTCACACTGAGGTAACAGAGGTCAAAGAGAGACCCGTCCAGTCTACACATGATGTACACGCTATGTCTCTGACAGCATTGATGTTGAAAATCAGGCAATTGATGATGCATGCTAAGATCCTGCCAGCAATAAACAGGAAAGATATGCCTCTGTAATTGCCACAGTCAGATTTGTAGGGGACAATTGTAGTGATCTTTATGATTAAAAATATCTTGAGATACTAAAGACTAAATTTATTCAATAAAATTGCCATTGGCTTTAACTATGGCCTCCAGGCGACTTCAGAATCATCTGCAACTCTTCTGGATGGTCTCCTGTTTAAGTTGGTGAATGCTGCCATAATCCTTGCCTTCAGTTCAACTTTGGTGTTTCAAAAAGTTTTGTTGGTCTCACTCAATTGAACACCCCATAATAATCATGAGGCATGCAGCCTGGAAAGTTAGATGGCTAGATGTAAGGGGTACTGTGGTTGCAGAAATTGTATGACAGCCATGAATGGGTTCTCCTACTTGGGTGGCATGGTGGAGAATACTGTTGCCAGACATAGGGTCTCCCAGCAGCCATCCTCTTGACCCAGGGCAGCACTACCTCCTCAAGGAACGATGTAGGCTTCTGTGTTGAGTCTGAGGCCCTGTGGGACGATGAATGGAGGCATAACATTGTCATCACTTGTGATCACTCCAAACATCTTTGTAATCACCATTAGGCTCATCCAACTCTTTCTGAATCCTCTGCACTGTCCTCAGATTGACACCCAAGCACTCTGAAATGTTCATATTGGAGATTCCGGTGTGAATGCCAAGCAGTACAGCATGCCATTTCAAAATTTATGGCAGAATGAATTGTGTCATGGTGCTCTTTTTCTCACAGATGGTGCCCAACTGACCCTACTATACTGTACAGTCAACAAAATCAAAAACAAACAGCATGCATGAATGAAATTAAAAATATAAAATGGTGATAATTTACCCAGCACACACTGTAAGTTTATTCAGTTTAAAATCAAAGTGCTAGACTCCTAACAGGAATGATTTAATTATAATGGTGACGGTTTGTGTAGAACCAGTTGCATTATTTTTGAAGAAAAGATAACAGAATAATGGTCCACAGTGTGCCCTGAAGTCTTCAAGGAACCCTCCCCCCCACTCCCATCCCAGGTTATGGATTTGAGACAATGTAAGAGTTTGTCGCACAGAAAGTGAAATTGCTGAGCTGAGTTCAAATTTGGGTTGATTCTGTTGTTTTCATTTTGTGCTAATGTTCGTGAAAAAGACATAAATTCAACTTCCTCCAGTTATGGCTGAGCAGATTTGATTCCCTTCCCTTGGGTAGCAGCTAGTCTAGAAGGAAAACTTCAGGTTTAAATATTGCATTTAAGCATCAGACTTGCCACTTGGTGTTGACCTCAGTGTCCACTTTTATACTCACATATGCTCTATATCCACTATTGAGCACTTTTACCCATAAATGTAGCATACCTTAAAACTAATATATATATATATATATATATATATATATATATATATATATATATATATATATACACACACAGTTGTGGACAGAATTCACCCACTTTCATAATTACAAATAAAGCTGTAATATCTCACATTTTCATGGAAACTTAATGTACATTTTTTCACAAATGATGAAATAATGGATTTGAAAGAATCATGTGATGCCCACAACAAAATTTTTAGTTTTAATGTCAAATAATAATGCAAAAAACACCAAAATACATTTAATGTAGGGCAAATTTATTGGCTCTCCTGCCTCAATAATCAATTGTGTAACCTTTATTCTTGATTATTGCCTTTAATCTTTTTTTCTAGTTCTTTACAAGGTCACTACACAAACTGATAGGTATTTTGCTCCATTCTTCCTTGGCAATCACTTCTAGTTGCCCAAAATTTGAAGGACTTCTTTCTCTTACTATTTTTCTTTAAATATGATCATAAATTTTCAATGGAGTTTTTTGTGGGGTGCATCAATACCTTAATTTTGCTGTCATCTAAGTATTTTGTAATAATTTGTGCTGTGTGTTTCAGGTCATTGTCACGTTGGAATGTCCAAAGACAGCTTCATGCACTTTGTTTTATATTATTTTTAAGAATAGCCAAATACTGTTCTTTATCCATGATACCTTGTACTCTAACTAGTTCTGTTCCAGAAGCAGCAAAATGCTCTCACTAACGTGCTTAATTGTAGGGTGGGTATTTTTTGGTTGGTATGCTTCATTCACTTTTCTTCATATTTAAGGGGAGTTCATGTGACCAAATAATTCTAGTTTCGTTTCATCTGACCATAAAACAGAGTTTTGATATTTACTCTCATGTTCTAGATGGCTTCTAGCATAATTTAATCTGTATGCTTAGCCTTAAGCAAGGGAGTTTTCCTTGGGCAACAAGCTCAAAATCCTGATCGATGAAAGCATCTAGTGACTGCCTTTGTCAATACATTCAACCCTGATGTCCTTACATCATTAACAATGTCCTTTGTCATTAAGTGAGGATTCTTCAAGACATCTCTAACAATTTTTGTTTCCATTCTCTCAGAAAATAATTGTTTTTTGCCATTCCTTAATTTATTCTCAATACAATGAGTCTCATTATACTTCTTGATAATGCTAGGAATTGTCAATCTAGGAACATTTAAAGTTTAGAAAGTGTTGTATATCTATCACTTTGTATACATCAACTATCTTCATTTGGAGCTTCTTGTCAAGTTAAGCTGTCTTTGCCATGGTTGCAGAGCGAATGAGTTATCGCGGTACTTGACACTCACATATTGTCTTCTTCATTACCTTTTAGAATGTCATAGAATCAGCTCAATGCGATTTCATTTTCAAAGTGTGTTTGTATTAAATGCTAAATTAAGAAAAGAACATTACAATTGCCATTGAGCAATATTATTTCATAATTTCCATAAGGTGGGAACGAATAATTTTGGACTGCATCAATTTTTAGAAAAATCTATAATTATGAATATAGTACAATGAAACTTCTAAAAATTCCATGAATTATTCAAAACTAAATACGGAATTGACTATTTATGGTAAATTCAGTAAGTACTTGCAAATATTTGCATTTCTTTAGAAAATAAGCAAATCTCCAGTGGGAGCAAGTAATTCTGCCCACAACTGTATATACATATATATCTTATAAAAGGAAAAAAGATAATAGGAAAACTAGTTTTAGCTGACATGTTTTGTCTAATGTGGACTTTTTCAAGGCAAAAACAAAATACAAAATGAATTTATTAAAACAAAGTATCTATAAACAACAAATACTACTGTATATTCATATGGTCAACTGAAAGATTACGTCAATTACTTTGTTTGAAGAGAATATTCTCACATGTAGAAATATTGTTTGTATTGTTGTGTTGGCAGATTCAACCGTTTTCTTTTTATTTCTTGATATATTTGTTGTGTAAGTTGGCTTGGGAGAGTAGTGATTCTGTTAGGAAAAGTGATATTGGGGAAAAACCTGGGTGTAGATTAATATTTGGATAATATTCAATGGCAGTACTCTTGAGGATTTTCTACAGGTTAATTCTGAGAAATTTTTACATATAGATCTTACTAATGATCATGAAATTAAAATTTTGAAAGTATCAGTTTTGAAATAAGTGTCAACAGAAATAAAATGAAAGAAATACTAGTCAAAAATTAATAACTGAAGATACATCAGATAAAAAATTTAAAGACATTACAAGAAATCTTTTTGCATTAAAAGCAAATGCTCAGCTCAAGTAGATTTCTCATTGTTTACTATGATGATGGAATTAATTGCTTTTTAAGAATGTTTTAGAATGATGAGGATTTAATAATTTAATTATAATGATCTAATAGAAAATTCACAGCTTTACTCTTTTGTCCTACCTCAATAAATATTAAAAAAAAAAAAGATTGCTATGAATGAATTTTGAAAGTTAAAATACTGCTGGTTTTTGTATTTAAAACTTTAGCCTATCTCATATTTTTTAATTAAAACACGGCTTTTGGTATAAAAATCTTAATCTGCCTTATAATTTCATATTAAGTCATGGATTTTAGCCGTAATATCCTAACCCTGCCTCACATTTTCAAACTAAATTAAAAAAGATCAATTAAAAAATTTCCTCAGGGATTAAAAAAAAAAAAGATTGCCAGATTAGAAAGAGAAAATGAAAGAAGATCGTACTTGGGAATTACCAAGAAGTCTGACCAGAGAAAGATTTAAATCTTCAGAGAATATCTTAGGCTTAGGTTTTCACCAAAAAGCACAATTCTTGTGAATTATGAGGCAAGGTAAATTTTTATCAATGAAGACCTTGATTTAGTTTAAAGATATGAGGCAGGGTAATTTTTTATGTCAAAATTCTTAATATATGAGGCATGGTAAAAATTTTAGCAATAAAACTACTGATTCAGTTAGAGATAATGAAAATTTCTACCAATATAAATTCTACTAATTAACCCCTAGCTGGGGAGAGAAGAGGTGGATTCATACCTGTCCAAAGTGTATTGGTGTGTAAGTGAATATAATGAACCTGATTGGAAGTGGAGTTCTGTTCTCAAAATTCAAATTCCATGCCATTAACCACCTATACATTCAAGCTTACAACACCTGGTATTTCCAAGCGGTCACTCATCTATGTATTGACCAAGCTTGACATTGCTTAACTTCAGTGATCGTATGAGAACCAGTATTTGAACGTGATATGCTGATATTTATTGAGGCTATGAAAAGTTGCATATATAGTTGGCATCTGTTTATCTTGTGAGATAAATTTAGCAATATGGTCAAAAAGGCACCAGTTTTCCACTTTTGCCCATTCTCTGGCTTGGAATGGGGTTTAGCTGTCAGAAGCTATTTTATAGACAGTGGGAGCTATGAACACCTTTGGAACATACCTAATGTACCTATTTAAGCATTATATACATTACATGTTTTATAAGATTGCATAAGATGATGTAAAAAAAAAAGAAAAAAAAAGGGAAAGCAATATCTGAAGATTTCTCATTTCAAAAGCATAAAAAGTCTTTAACAGAAAGTCTAGTAATTCGTTAGTAGAAATCAGCTTCTCCCTTATTTTATTGTTATTCATTGAACTCTGAATTTGAAGAAAAGTGTCAGAGCAGAATTCATATTCGAGTTGGTTTCTGTTTTTTTTTTGCTACTTTGAAATAAAACTATCAAAACAAATTAAATGTTATAGGATCTTCTCCAATTCCCAGCAATGAGTTGTAAAACCAGAGAAAAAGGCTAACTAGACAGCTCTGTTAACAAACAGGTCACACAAACTGCATGTATACACATTCCAAAGTTTGACTTACCATCTTTTTCAATAAGTCTTTGTCGTTTATTTTGCTGTTCACTAACATCTTCATAGTCAGGGTCAATATTATAGTAATCTCGTTTAGTGGCCATCACTTTTCTTATATCACAAATCAGCTCTGGAAAAGTATAAAAAAAATAATGAAAATTATTGATGAAAAGCAAATGAATTGCTTACGAATAAAGAATAACCTTTGTATTTTGGTTCAAGCCAATTTCCTTGTTTTTATTACATTTCTCCATTATTCTTTGGGCATCTATTATATTTTAGAATGTTGACCCTTATTCTAAGGGTAAATGTGCTCCCCCTTCCATACACATCATATTAGTATCTTTGCCTCTAAGCTTTGGAACCGTTCTATGGATTTTAAAGCTGGAATTCATGGAAAAACTTTAAAATTGGGAATAGCTGATCATGTGTAGAGAATTAAGAATGTTTACAGAATTAAGTCAATAGAATATCATATACTATGCTCAAATCATTTGATCAGCAGGTCAAGCATATAGGAAACTATATTAAAAAAAAAAAAAAGACAATGAATTTGGAGTTCCAGAAACATGACCTATATAATGGGATTGATGGAGAAATTCATCTCAGTCAGAAATTCAATATATAGTTCAAGGGAACTTGCAGGCAAAGGCACTGATATGACATGATAGAGAGAGAGGAAGTTATAAGCATAATCATTGAAAGGAAAAGAAAAACAAAAGATGTCCAAAAAGAAAGTAAGATACAGATAGGTATAAATCAATCAGAATCCAAACATTGTGAGAGTTGTAAACACAAAGTAACAAACAAGAGTATGTGATAGTTCTTAGAACAGATTTAATATTTAGCACAAACATATATGATGCCACAACAAAGATAGCCAACACCATAAAAAAGTGAACAAATTTAGAAGTACAATGTGTAATAAGATTTTTGCATGACATAGGCAAAAACTGCAACTTGGGGTCCTAAAGTAATTGACTGAAAAACACAGGTTCCAGCATATGGGCATGTTTCAGCTTTTGAAATAGTATAGAGGAGCTGATAGGGATTTTCTGAAGCATATGATCACAGGTGATAAGACCTGGCAGCCTCATATCAATCTGAAGATAAAGGTTGATTCTATATCCTAGAAGCATTCATCATTGACTTACAGCCTTTTCAAAATACTCAGCAAATCAATTGATGACAACTGTTCTGCAATGCAAAAGGTGTGCTTCTCATAAAATTCCTGTCATCTGACAATTAACCCAATAGGATTTCAGGATATATCAATCCATATGGGATCATATCTAGAAATAAGTTTATTATACTTGAGCTCATAAGTAAACATTGGTCATGTTTATATTTGTCTATAAGCAAAACATTAGTTGCTCATGATTTAGTTTGTAAGCATTCATCTGGTAGGGGGCCACTTTTTGGTTTGGGTGTCTTATCCCTCTGCAGATAATGCAGTTGGCATATTCTGGGCCCTGCTAACAGGGTAGAATTAATTAAACCAGATACTGTCAAATATTGAACAAGATCAGTGAAGCTGTTCTTTAAAAGAGAATGATTTGTGTAAGGTTGATATCCTGCTGCATGGCAATGTCACCCCTCACACAGTCAATGTGACAAAAGAATGGTTCCAGTCATATGGTTACAATGTAAGGTTGATATCCTGCTGCATGGCAATGTCACCCCTCACACAGTCAATGTGACAAAAGAATGGTTCCAGTCATATGGTTACAATGTTTGACTATATCCAATGCATAGTCTTTCCTGATGGTGTGTTGCCTGGATGTGTTAGGATGGCTTGTATGCTTCAATGACCCCCAGACCTATGTGGGTGGGGGCTTTGGCCTGTAGCAGGTCCAACCAAGCTCAGCAGGTCTGTGGAGTAGGAGCCAGATGAAAGACACACCAGGTTGGAGGTTGTGCAGTTGGCTAACAACCTACTCACTTAAAAACTGGCTTGTTACAGAAACCACAATATCTTCAAACAATGACATGGCTGAGGAAGAGTCCTCCAAAGTGGAGCGTATGATACATGCTGGCGAAATCCCTCAGGAGGTGAAGGCAGCTGGTGTGACATGGGCCGAATTGAAGAGGATCACCCAGAACTGTGTCTGCTGAACCCTATGTTCCCCAGGGAATCAAGAGGAATAATAATAATAATAATAATGCATAGTCTTGACTTGTTTCCTTCAGATTAGCATCTGTCTGGGCCCCTCAAATAAGATTTATCTGGGAAGTGTTTCTACACAGATGATGTTTTTGTAGCAGTGCAAGGGTGGTTGCAGATGCTCGAGGTTATATTCTTCAAGGAGAGTATTTATGTGCTTGGAGCTGGCAGATTTTAGGAGATATCAACTCCGATTGTTTTTTTTTAATGTTGTAAGGAGTTTCTTATACTTGAGTCCATTGGTTGTACATACTGGTATGTGTTAGCATGAACTTGGTAGGTAGCTCCATTTTGGTGAAGGTAGCTTATTCCTCTAGAAAGGATTCAGTCATCAGTGGGAAAAGTGTTTCAATCTCAATGGTCACTGCATGGAAAAGTACTTTACCATGTTTTATTTGAATACTAATAAACATGTTGAATATTTGTAGTTGCTCACCCCTTACCTGATTCACTTAGCATGAGGCTGCTCATTAGGTGGATTCAGGCATATGCTACCTAGCCAGATATTCAAAATCTACTCAGTCCCTCAGAGACAACTGATTACTAAGCTTAGCTTTTTATCTTTTTTTTTAAATCATTTCACCCCAAGTAAGACAATAAAGCCACTAAAACACAAGAGTTTACTTAGTGTGAGAGAATATGAGGAAAAGAAAACATTATTAAGGAAGTTATGTCCAGAATAAGGCTGCCTTAATTGATAAACTGATAATTGGCAGTCATATCAACATTTGTTGATATATTGGTAATTAGCTTTGATTTTTACTAATTAATCAGTTTTCATAGTCAATCATCCTTGCTTATTGCATGACCAAAATTTCATTCCTAGCTTAAGAATTATCAGTTATATTAGACAATGAATTTAAATAATTTTTTTTATTAATTTATTTTTCAAATTTTTACTGAGCATAGTTAAATTACTGATTATCAACCAATTAATTGGTCCAACTCTAATCTAGAACAAATGACATAGGTTGGAACTCACCTACATAAGCACCCATGAGTCTGTCTTACACTTGGAAGCCATAATAAAGGGCAAAAAGTTTAAAAAAAACAAAAACCCCAAAACAACACAAACAAGAGATAGCAAATGTAGCACAATCCAATATGGCATACAGCTGGTGAAGAAACAACAACACCATCTCCCACATATAGCACTGTGTGACGTATTATATTATGGGAGATGTCACCATACATTATTTCCGACACACACACACACACACACACACACACACAGTTTCATTAAAACTGACTGAAAAGGTACTGCGGTTAAATTTTTTATTTATTTTTCTTGTGTTCTTATAATTTTCTTCTTTTCTGGACATAAATTATGTAAAAATTGTCTGAATGCTTTCAGCTATACTTTTAGCCATTATCAAGGATGATTTTATTTTTTATTTTAACTGAATGTATGGATTGTTTTATGTATGTATCTAGAGTTATAGGAATTTTTTATTTTCCAAACATGATCAGCACATTGTGGCCATGTTCATAGATGATATTATTGAGTATAAAAAAGGAAGCAAACACTCAATAATATGAAGAACAGCAGTTGAAAATTTACATCCTCTGTTACATGTTTTCATCATTAATAATACTCCCTTTACAGGAACCAAATAATAAGGTCACTAATATTGGTTTGGGTTTTGCTAATTTTTAACGATGGTAGATGAAATGGTAAGGTTGATTTTTTGGTGTCTTCAAAAAACAAATTGTTTAAATCAGTCAAATATTTATACTTTGCTTGGAGGCTTTCAGAACAAAACCATCAAATTATTCAGTCAAATTCAGACAGGATGTCTACTTGAGGACAGAGAGTAATGCCCTATATGAGAAAGTGATAACTAACTTAACCACATCACTCTGATGGGTGCAAGGGAGATAACTCTGTTACAAGAAAAATTAAAGACATTACAGACAAAAAAAAAAAACGATTGTATTATATAGATAGTAAAAGTATTGTTATAAATGACCATTGATGGTATGGTGGACCAGAATTGCCATATTTACAATTCAAGAAATTCTGTGTAAGAATCAATAGCCAGGATATATGTTGACATGTATCAGCAAAGTAATGACTAGGTACAGTGATTCTACTCTATTCTCTTATAAACAGCTAACCTGTTTATACAACTGTTTTTCTGCTTGGGACAGAACAACTTTCAATGTTAAGTTAATTTACTATCTATGAACATGTACTCCTTGTATACAGACTACAGTTCCTTTT